TAGCTTTGTCGTAGAAGGCCACTAAATTAGGTATGCCCAATTAATTAGGTCTGGATAGTGGTACTCTCGGAGTAATATTAGTTTTCTCCTTAAAGCTGAGAAAATGAAAGAAGACATTTTGGGCTTGTCTACCTGGCTCTACTGTAATTTTTCTTGGCTTTCCTTGTGCTCGGTACCTTTCATAGTCAAAGTAACCATTGTAATAGCCAGCTTCAGAGACTACCATAGCTTCTTTTACATGAAGTAGAAGATAATTTAGCACTACGATTCAAGTTGATGTCCAGTTTCAGCTGATGGAAATCAACTGTCACAGGCTAGCCTAAACTAAGCGTTCAAATAGTACATTTGTAAAGCATAGGCTGGTCACTTGCTCATTGAACTGCTTTGAACTGCTGAGGAACCGTAAATGGTTGTGTACTAGTGATTTTGTATAAAGCATATGTTTTTCTTCTATAATAGTGATCTGTTTATTTCCATTTTTCCAAAAAAAAAATCATGAACAATTAATGTTATACCATGTTTACTTCACAAGGAATATTTTTGTTATTAGATTTGCTTATTGTTGCCATTAAGACAACTGCATTCATTTAACAAATTTCCAGACTGTTTTCCCTGACAGCTGCCATTTGCTTGCTCAAAATGTTGATCTGTAGTGGAACATTGTATAATGGATCTCCCTTGACAGTCTGCTGACAGGCATTTTGTCCTGGTTGACCTCAGTTGGTGTAAGTGGTTTTTGTCCTCATTTGCTCATGAAGCGTTCCGTATTTCCCTATCAGAGATTATTGCACTGACAGGGTGGCTCTTGTGATTATCTCTTTTATCTCTTTCAATCAGAATGAGCCAGGTGAGCAAAGTAGAGTATTTAAAGTAACCCAGCTCAGTTCTGAGTGAAGTGAGCCAGGGAGTAATCCTATCACCAGTTCAGTGAGGGGGTACAGTGGGGAGTAACCTTTCACGGGGTTAAAATTGAGAATTAGGAAGGAGATGCTGATCTGTAGGAGTTTAGCCACATACACAGCTGATGCCACATAGTCAACTGATGTAGGTGAATCCTAGGTAGCATAGATCATTGCCAAGACGGAGTTTAAAACAAACAAACAAACAAAAGAAAAAAACCCAAAACCCCAAATTTCTGTATAACAAAATAAAGACAGTTAATTACCTCTGAACAATAGTCTTTGTCATGGTTGTGTTACTCCTGAGGAGTTTCTCCTTTTTTCCTCCCTATGTGCATGCTTTGGTAGTAATGTATTATTCCAAATAATGCTTTACTTTCTGAGGGAAGAATGAAACTACAAAAAACAAGCACCGTGCATTTGTATAATGTTGGCGACTTCTGCTGGACCCACAGTTGTGTAGGTGTTTATAGAGATTATTGTTGCAGATAATATTTCCACGAATCTTTTTTGTAATTTAGATATTGACTGATACAGTGATTGACCGTCTCGGCTGAGCAGAATGACAGTGCACCATGGTAGCAGCATTGATCTTTAACTAGTTAGTAGAGAAAACAAATTGATATGATTAGGTTTTGCAATTATTACTGGTCTGGTTATGTAAATTTTTAATAAAAATTAGATACTTGGGGCTCAGAAAGGGCTGCAGCTTTTTTCGCTAGAGTTTTCCAAAAATGCTTGTTACTTATGAATGATGTTTGAATGATTTTAACACTTTCTAACAACTTTTAAGCACTTCTAATGCTTTTAAGAGCTGAAAGTGCTGTGGTACGCCCCCGTTCTGAATGCTCAGTTCTGCGAGCAGCCAAGTCCCTAGAGTGGATGCTGACTTGCACTGCAGCTATCGGAAGAAATTGATGACTTCAGTGACCTTCTGGTTTTACAGACTCTCTTCTGGCTGTAGTTATTTTTGTTGTTGAATTCGTGCTTGTTTAGGGCTGTAATTCTGTTGAGTAAGCGGCAAAGCTTCCTCTATTCAAAGACAGGAAAACCAGACACTATCTTCTAGAAATGCAAACCTTAGAATTTATGTATTTTTCTGATGATAAGCAGGTTTTCAGCACCAACTAGTATTTGCTTTGGTATGAACTAACAATATATTCCCTATGTGTTTAATTGTTTTCCCATCTGCTTGTAAGTACTTTTTATGTTTTACTGACTCTTAGAGGCTCCATCCTGCAGCTGCTCAGCATATGGTCATCCTGTAATCTTCCCGGAAACTTTATATACAAAATAGCTATAGGAGATACTCTGATTTTTTTTCACTACTTGCATAAGAAATACTGGGGTTTTTCACCTGTTAATTGCAGACTGTTTTCCCTGTAAACTGTAAACAGTTATTTTATAAACTTCAAAGACTGTAAATGATCTCCTCAGGCTGCTTCCCCAAAACCGTGCATTTGCGATTCTCTGTCCCTGCATAGATCCACTGGGGCAGGTCTGCCCACAGATGCAGCATGTGGGCAGGTTGCACAGCTTAGTTTCCTTACTTGTTCCAAAATAAATGAAAATGTTGCCAGTGGCAGACCAAGCCTGGCAACGGCAAAATGGCCTTTTCAATTCCTTTGGATCACCAACAAAGCCCGGTGCTACAATATATTAACATTTTATGTAGTATTTTAATGAGCTATCCGGAGCTAAATTTTGTATTTTAATTTCTAATTTCCAGCTGCTGGCTCATGTTACTTTATCTTTGGCAACAGTTACTTTACCAGTGAATGTTTATGGCCTGCAGCAAGTGTTGAAGAACAGTGTATAAACCTCATTGTCCCATTTTGAACTGGAATACATAGAGAAGACAATACAATCTTTTCCTCTCAATTCGCCTATTATATCCTCATAGGATTAACCTGGAGATGTGCCATGAAAAATACAGATATGCTATTCCAGTGCTTCCTTTTATTTAGCAGGTTGTTCAGTTTTTCCTGAGTTTGCATGTGTGAGTGTTTTTATCTGGAAACAATCAAATATGAATTATCCTGTTTTTTTGGAATGCCAGTTTGTTATTGTTCAGAAACTGGTTGACAAAATTAAGTCTGCATTAAAGCTTTTATAACTGCCATGAGAATCCTCAAGTGCAATTTTTGTTCTGCATTGTAAAGGATTGCTAATAATCAACCTGCGCAATTTTGCTTGGGAAAAGAAAAAAAACAAACGAAGTGGTAAAAGTAATATATTGGTATATTTCAGATCACCTAAATTTAAAACATATATCAGTAATGGTTTCAGGGCCCAGTCCTGTAAACTCTTAAGCACATGGCTTTATTAATGAGCTTGTATTAATATGTGTTAATTCTGTGTAACTTGATTAAGACTGAAATTTTACGTATATCTAACTATTTGAAAGTTTGATTCTAATTTGTCACATATAACAAGACAGAAGCTATGGGTTTTAGGAATTATACTCCTTGTGCCCTAAAAAGATGGAGTTTTCCCAACTTGAAACAATTTCCCTGATCTAACCTTGTTACTTTAGAGTTTCACTTCTATTTTATAGATACATAGAAGTGCCTAGAAGTGCTTTATGGTGATTTAGCTGAGTCATGCTTTTATTTGCTTCGACTAAACCTGGACTATTCTTGAAGTGAAAGAAGTTATCCACATAGGGGTTTTAACGCTCAGTTTAGCTAAGGAGAGTCCTTAACCAAAGTGCTAAAATTGCTATCACTGTTTTTAAAGCCCTGGTAGGAGTTCCTGGGCTTTGGGCAGTCACCTGAGCTGATGACAGCTCTGTGCCCTGTCTGCACTTGCCACTGGTGCTTCCTTGTCCCCGTGAATTCTCTGGCCTTGATGCTGCTCCATCTTCCTCCACTCCTGAGTCACCTGTGGGGGACTTCGTCCCGCGGTGGGTGCAGCGTTCAGCAGCATGACCATTGTCTCTGTGCCGCAGGGCTTATGTTGGGCTGCTCTGTGTCACAGAGGAATTACCTCGTGCCTTGGAAATCTTACACAACTTAAGGCCACTCACCTCCTGGTTGGAGGAAATATCTGTCGGCTGTACAAGAGCTGAAAAAGACTTAGAAAGTGAGAGTTGTGAAAGAGAGGTCAGAGGATGGAAGTTGTTGTCAAGCCATCGCATCCTTTTATTCTGAATTCCCCTGCCTTTCCTAGGAACTTCAGAATCTGATTCCAAATAGAATGAAACCTCATTGATGTATGGCTGGTTGTTTATTTTCAGGAGTATAGCATGAGATAACAGAAGAGAGTTAACAACTCTCAGTCTGGGAAAAACACAAAAAACACCTCAGCGCATCTTCAAACAACAGAATTACAGTATTCTTAGCACTTCTGCAAATTTTATGCCACTGTGACAGTTCAGCATACCGAGTTACTGCTGGTTTAGTTAGCTGCATGTAAGAGGATACTGATCAAAACCAATATGTGCGGAAATAAGAATGTAAAATGTTAACACAAAAGGACCATAAGCTGAATTTTCATCACTTTGAGGGTTTTTTTGTGGGTGAACGTTTCTAATAATTCGGACTATTACTTTAAACTGGATTTTTTTGTGCCCTGCCTGTCTTTATACAGATCAGATCCCATTCCCAGTTTGGTGATCTCTGCCAGAGAGCTACTGCTGCTTCGTGCTGTCCCAGCTGGACACTGGGCAACTATATTGCTATCCTCAACAACAGGTCATCGTGTCAAAAAATTGTTGAACGAGATGTCTCTCACACCCTAAAGCTGCTTCGCACATGTGCCAAATACTACTACAACGGAACCCTGGGGCCGGACTGCTGGGATATGAATGCCAAAAGGAAGGATCAACTCAAGTGTACAAATGTGCCTCGCAAATGTACCAAGTACAATGCTGTTTACCAGATCCTTCACTATCTAGTGGACAAGGATTTTCTAAGCCCAAAGACAGCTGACTACGTCTTACCAGCTTTAAAATACAGCATGCTCTTCTCTCCCACTGAGAAAGGGGAAAGCATGATGAGTATTTACTTAGATAACTTTGAGAACTGGAACGCTTCTGATGGTGTAACAACCATCACAGGGATTGAGTTTGGAATAAAACATCGATTGTTTCAAGATTACCTGTTGATGGATACTGTGTATCCTGCCATAGCCATTGTAATTGTTTTATTAGTTATGTGTGTATACACGAAATCCATGTTTATCACGCTGATGACTATGTTTGCAATAATTAGTTCCTTGATTATTTCTTATTTTCTCTATCGGGTAGTATTTAATTTTGAGTTCTTTCCATTCATGAATCTCACGGCATTGATTATTCTTGTTGGGATTGGAGCAGATGATGCTTTTGTCTTATGCGACGTTTGGAACTACACAAAATTTGATAAACCTCATGCTGGAACCTCCGAGACGGTGAGCATCACGTTGCAGCACGCTGCTCTTTCCATGTTTGTCACGAGTTTTACTACCGCTGCTGCCTTCTATGCTAATTATGTCAGCAATATCACAGCAATCAGGTGTTTTGGTGTTTATGCCGGCACTGCCATTTTGGTGAATTATGTTTTGATGGTTACTTGGCTACCTGCTGTAGTTGTATTACATGAACGGTATCTTCTCAATATTTTCAGTTGCTTTAAGAAACCTCAGCAGAGGGTATACAACAACAAAAACTGCTGGACAGTGTTGTGCCAAATGTTCCACAAGATTATTTTTGCAGTCTCAGAAGCATCCAGGATATTTTTTGAAAAAGTTTTGCCATGCATTGTTATCAAATTTCGATACATTTGGCTTTTCTGGTTCCTTGCCTTAACAGTTGGTGGAGCATATATCGTGTGTGTAAATCCAAAGATGAAATTGCCATCATTGGAGCTCTCTGAGTTTCAAGTATTTAGGTCTTCTCACCCATTTGAACGGTACGATGCAGAATACAAAAAGCTTTTTATGTTTGAACGTGTCCACCATGGAGAAGAGCTCCACATGCCAATTACAGTAATCTGGGGTGTGACACCTGAGGATAATGGTGACCCTTTAAACCCTAAAAGTAAAGGAAAGCTGCAGCTGGATAGCAGTTTTAATATCGCTAGCCCAGCTTCACAAGTTTGGATTTTACGTTTCTGTCAGAAGCTAAGAAATCAGACATTTTATTATCAGACTGAAGAACAAGACTTCACGAGCTGCTTCATTGAAACATTTAAGCAGTGGATGGAAAATCAAGACTGTGATGAGCCATCTCTTTACCCCTGCTGCAGCCACTTGAGCTTTCCGTACAGACAGGAAGTTTTTGAATTGTGCATCAAGAGAGCTATAATGGAGCTAGAAAGAAGCACAGGGTACCATTTAGATAGTAAAACCCCAGGGCCTCGCTTTGACCTAAATGACACCATCAGAGCAGTGGTGTTGGAGTTCCAAAGCACCTACCTCTTCACACTGGCCTATGAAAAAATGCATCAGTTCTACAAAGAGGTGGACTCATGGATTTCAAGTGAGCTTAGTTCTGCTCCTGAAGGCCTTAGCAATGGTTGGTTTGTGAGTAACCTTGAATTTTATGATCTTCAGGACAGTCTTTCTGATGGTACTCTGATTGCCATGGGTCTTTCAGTTGCTGTTGCATTTAGTGTAATGCTTCTTACAACTTGGAATATAATTATAAGCCTTTATGCAATAGTTTCAATAGCTGGAACTATTTTTGTCACTGTAGGTTCTCTAGTTCTTCTTGGATGGGAACTGAACGTGTTAGAATCTGTCACGATTTCAGTGGCTGTTGGCTTATCTGTAGACTTTGCTGTTCATTACGGAGTGGCTTATCGCTTAGCCCCTGACCCTGACCGAGAGGGAAAAGTCATTTTTTCTTTAAGCCGTATGGGTTCTGCGATTGCAATGGCTGCACTGACTACGTTTGTAGCTGGAGCAATGATGATGCCCTCTACAGTGTTGGCGTACACGCAGCTTGGCACTTTTATGATGCTTATAATGTGCATTAGTTGGGCTTTCGCAACGTTCTTCTTTCAGTGCATGTGCCGGTGCCTCGGACCCCAGGGCACTTGTGGCCAGATCCCACTACCAAAAAAATTGCAGTGTAATGCCTTCTCTCATACCTTTTCAGGAGCCCAGGGAAGTAGAGGTCAAAATAAACCACATCCTGTTAGCAAGTATCAGCTGGACTCCAGAAGTCAAAAACCAGAAATGGAGCACGAGCACTATGAGCTTGAGCCTCTGGCCTCACAGACGGGTATTTGTAACCCTGCAGAGAAAGTGACTTACGAAGAAACTCGTATCTGCTCCGAGCTCTTTGGCAGCAGGCCCCCAAACACATGTATGCCTGTGCATTCAGCCTATACTAGCGAAGTGAGTAAAAGCGTAAAAAATGTTGCTAGTTCAGCTGTGCTACAGACAGCTATCGACCAACATACCATCTGCCCAATTTTCTCACAAAACAGGCAGTGTAGCTGTCCTGATGCATATAAGCAAGTGGCAGTGAAGTGGAGTCCACACTCATGTCAGCAGTTAAGCGACACCTTCTGTTACCAGTGTTCTCCTTCACCGGGAACCATCCAGATCCAAAACTCTGTAGCCCCTATAAATGCTTTACAGCAAGCTGCCGAAGGTTACGTGCACCCAGTCCAGCACATCCTCCACTGCAGTTGCCTTCAAGGAAGGCTCAAAAGAACGATGACGCAGAACTCTCTGCCTAAAAATTTTTTCCTCCAGTCCGTGCAACAGTTTCAGGCACATCAAAGAATAAATAGGACAGACTCGCACGCTCATCAGAACCCAGAGGAAAACATAAGGACTGTTCCAAAGGTGATGAGCTCCTCGCAGTTTCTCTGCCGAAATGCAGGACCTCTGATAGTGCGTTGCTCTGAATGTGAGAACAGTGTATCAAATAACCAAAAGGGATTCTGTCAGCAGACAGGCAAGTGTGATGAGAAGGGTGGCATAGAAGCAAACGGGGTTGAAAACAAGAAAGCCTCTCTGTCAAAGCAGAAAAGGAAAGCTGAGAGCAAGGTAGAACACCCTTCTTTGCAAAATGACCACGTTTTGAAGGCTGACCAAAATGATAAAAAATATCTGCTGAATAGGTCGGTGAGAGAGGCTCGCTACGAGGGTTGCTGTGAAAATTCACACTGTTGTAGCAAGGCTATCGCAGTGAAGTGCAATTCTGTTGACTGTCAAATGCCAAACATTGAAGCCAATGTGCCTCCTATGTTAATGCGCCCAGAACTTTCTAATGAAAGTTTGTTAATAAAAACACTATAGTAAATCCTTAATTTGGCAATTCTGTGTCTTTCTTTCAAAAGTAGGTTCAAAACACTAAAAAGGAAAGTCCTGAATAAATACAAATTATAATTTACATTTTGAAATGAAAATTGTATTTTGCAGAACAGTAACATTTATACATGTCATAAAGCCATTACATGTAGTAAAACCTAATGTTGTCCAGAATGTTTGGGGGGGTTGAGGTTGGTTTTTTTTTCTGTAACTCATAGGATGGATTATGCTTAATTTAGTTTTTATGCCAGGGCATTAGAGGTAGAATTCTTCTTATAAACCATCTCAAAAAACATTACAAAGAAACTTGCCCTTTTTGAAAGCCAGCGCTTGTAAGATTTATAATGTTTGGGGCAGACTGAGACTATGCATCATTTACCTTTATTCTACTGCTGCCTTCACAGGCTTGTGCCCACCTTGCAACAGGGGCAGGACTGTAACTGTCTGAAAGACCAGCTCTGCAGGGTAGCCTGGTTTGAGAATGTTTTTAACTATTTATCCTAAAAAAATCTGCAGAAAAGCTCTTGGAGGTCAACAGCACTTGCACCACCATTGTTGCATATCTGTATATATTGGGCAGTAAATCATTTTCAACTTCCCTTTCTGGTAGTTACTTTATAGACTTCGCCATTAAATACCAGAGTATGCAAGTGGAAACAATAGTAAATGAACAGAATTTACTTCTTGGTGATGAGAAGTAAAGTGTAATTCATGTGTGTGACGTGTATATAAAATCAGGAATTATAAAATTGGGCATGAATTGCCTTGCAATACTAAAATTTTTCCCACAAAGTGTGGAAATTAGCAGTAAATCTACTGTGGGGAAAGGCATAATTAATGCACATGTTGTAGACTTACTAAGTCAATTCAAAAGGCTCAAATACATAAATTAAAATACCATGCTCTGAGTTTTGTTGCTGAGGGTAGTTCCAAGATGTAATTGCAAGCACTGAACTAAGCCATGTAACTGAGGCATTGGATTTCAGACACTGTATTTGTGTAACTAAATAGTTTAATCAAATGACAGTTATTGTTTGGTCATGGGAACGTGTGCTGGTCTCATCATTCAAGGAGAGTGAATTTGAGAGCTGGAGCTCTGTAGTATGTCATGATTGCTATGCACCTTAAGGACAAATCTCTTTTCGTGTAATTGTTTGGTTATGCTGATTACGTTGATGAACTGCAGGCAGATAACAGAAGACAGATTTTATGGATTGATGTGATATCATATACTTGCTGTGTTACGAATCACTGGAGAAAGGGCCTGGCTCTTTCTGTTCTAATTCATGTTGAAGGGATGTAGAATATTAGTATTGTACAACAAACCACTTTGGTTTGTCTGGGAGTAGTGACATTAGTGCTTACACTGACTGGAACAGAGTAAGAGGTTAAAATCTACTGAGAAAAGCTAAAATAGTTCTACAGAGTTTGAGAAAAGTATCATTCTTTCTTAGCTGTAGTAAAACTCACTTTTAGTTCTTTTGAAACTCAGTTTAGAGCCCAGCTCTTTCTAAATGTTTGTGATGAGAGCAATTCAGTGATTTTCTGTGCACCATAGAGGCCATTAATTATAAAGAGCTAAGACTTAGAGTGCGAGCAATCTAAAGAAATCAGAAGGGATAAGAAACAAACTGGGCTGTTGCTATTGTCCACCTCTCTTCCTGACCACTGCACTTGCTTGAGGGCAGTTTCTCTGAGGGGTGTATGTAACTTGCTAAGCAATAAATCGTTCCTGAAATAAAAATGTTATGTTGGTTTCATAGACCTGCAGTTAGAACTTGCCAAAGCAGTGTGTAATGCTTATGTAATGCCTGTTGCATCACAGCTGTGCCTTTGAGACATGGGGGGGTCCCCGGCTAATGTATCTGCAGAACATAGGACATTTTGAGCTGATGAGCACAAGAGTCACTGTTTTTTCTAAACCAATTTTCCACAACTGCATTGTGCACTCTTTTATAAGAGTGATGTAATGAACAGAGATTAACGTTGTATTTTCGTCGTGATTTATATGTTCTTAAAGGCCAATGTAGTGAAAAAAAACGGGGCAGATAAGGAGTTATGCTGTAATGTAAGATTAAAATGAGCTTATGTACTTGGCTAGCGAACAGTATTGCTGACGTATTTGCGTTTTGTGACTTTGCTAACTCCCTGCTAACTGCTTTATTCTTTCCAAATCACTTAGCTGGTCAAGGAGCAATCATTGATATAGATAAGTTTAATATTTATGTATGTGGCACTGTGTGTGTGTCACATCTATGTCAGTTCATGCACAGACTCTCAAATCCAAGCCAATGCAACTCGTGGAGCGTAGAAGAGAATAGGAGTTTGTTCCAGTGACAGTTGGAGGCTGATGAGGCTATGCATTACTCATGAGTTCTGTGGGTAAAACACAGTGGAGTATTTACCAGATTGAGCAGGGTATTTGGTAATTGTTCTGGCAGTGATGAGTAGTTTTCTGCCTTTGCAAAGTCTAGGAAAGACCTGACTATTACTTGTACGTGCAGTAAGTCTTCAAAGTGACATTTCTTTGATTATCCAAGGGAAGAAAGGGAGGCTTTATATGGCAAGGCAGGGATCAGTTTGTGGCTCTGAAGTTGCTAGTATGCATTCTTCAGGAATAAAGAATATAAAACCACTCTCTTCCTGGAAATGGGACTTGCGTCTGAGAACAACTTTCCCAAATTCACCTCACCCAGGAGAAAAATAAAGAACCATATCTTAGTTGTCTGTATTGTCCTTAGGGTCTGCGGTTTTCAGATTGCAATCACATTCATGGTGTGGGTAATACAGTGATTAGTTTAACAAAGAATAATTTACAGTAAGTCCTTTAAAATATTACACCAGGCTCAATATATAATCACTCTGAATGCAGCTACCACATGCAAAGTATTGGTAGATGGGTATGTAGCTGGTATAAAGAGGGGTTTTTTAAGTTACTTTTTTTGTTCTTTGTGTATTTAAAGAAAGTTGAAAACCATCTTTTTACAGTCACCTGCAACCACTTAACTTTGATCTTTTTTTTACCTAATGTGGGAGAATTGCTATGAAATGCTTTGGATTAGGAACACCTCTAATTTTGCCAGCTGGAGCCCTGGCAGTCAGTCCAAGAGAACTCTAAAAATACAGGTTGAAAAATGACAAAAAAATTAGCACTGTAAGTAATGTCAAACGTGATCAAAATCGAATATATTTTATTTATATAGAGAATGTTATGCTACTTAATATAGGTAGCATATGGCTGGCTTATGCCAAATCACACTGACTTCATTGAATCGGACCTTAAATTTTTTCCACGTGCTGGCAAGCTATGTTAAATTATAGTTCTGCCAATAATACCTGAAGTGCCTGTACATCTGGCATTTGATTTACGACAGTGAGTTGGGGCACCGTACTACTAAGTATTATGTATTCCCACAGTGCGAAACAACACTCACTTTTGCAAAAAAAAAACAAACAAACAAACAAACAATCTGTCCAAGTAAGAGAGACTGCAAGAAAGGCAATAGCTTCTCCAAGCTCATAACAGATCTCCAAAGACTTCTGAATTTGGAAGCAGTGTCACTAGCACAGAACTACTCTCGCTTTAATGTTGTTGTCCTTTGACTGTTTGTTCTGTACGTAATATCAGTCTGGCATCAGTCATTCCAGCTCAGGAGATCTCACTGCGTCATTCACTTAATCGGAAGATCTCTGAGGTGTGGGGAGCCTCTAAAATAGATCGTGCACAGCTTAGGCTGCAGTTTTTAGGTACCACCATGCTATAACTTCTGAAGACTTCATAGCCTTACACACAAAGTGCTCTGACTTCACTGTTTCTCTTTACTTGGCAGCTTGTATTCGGAGTGTTTTCTCTAAGTTTTCCACTTCAGAAAGTTGTTTAGACTCAGGTGCCTTGTGGAGATACGTAATTTTCAGTTGGTTCCTGAAGTATATTGAAGGTGATATGTCCAGCTTGGGTGTGGATTCCATTTTTCACATTTCCATAAATGTCAGTTTGCCTGCAAATGTGTAGACACACTCCAGAGAAGCAGCTGGTTGTTGTTTTTATTTAAATTCTGTTAGTTAAAAATGTTGAGGCTAGTTACCAAAGTTAAAGTTAACTAACATGAAAGTTAATTAAAACTGGTGCTGATTTGTCTTCTTAATAGCAGCAGGGATAACATATGTTCTTTTGCTGCAGGCTGGTGTTAGAAGTTGAACTCAGCCAGCAGTGAGTCTTTAGAGCAGATGGATGGCTTTGCTTTGAGGCCTAAACTAACTTTCTTAAACCCTTGTAAAACCTTAACCAAAATTGTCCATAGATTTTTCTTAATAGCAATTCTAGCACGTTTCTCCATGCCTTAGGAACAGTTTATTCATAACTGACTCTTCAGTAATACCGACTATGCTACAGTGCCCAGATCTTTGGAAAACATTATAACTGAAATACAAACTGAGTAATGTCAAACCCTGAAAAACTTGACCTAAGCCATGTCTTCTGCGCGTAATAGTATTCAATAATAGAAAATGTCATGGTTTAAATCTGAAGATGGATGATGTACTAAGATTATGGCTGTGTTTATGTATTTTTGAAGTCATTTTCAAGACGAATGACAAGTGAGGAGAGCTTGCCTTGGGATGGTGAGTGAGATGACACCTCTGGTTGCCTGCCCTCACCCAACCCTAGCAGCAGGCTGCCTGAAATTACCTCGCTGTCACAGCAACGTTCGGGGCCGTAACTGCATCAGCCGCCTTTTCTCCTCCTCTCTCACCGATGAAGTTCTTCATTTTTCACTAAGAAAGACTGTGTGTTGCAAGCTGGGAAAATAATTCAACTCTGGCTCTAATGGTATAAATCATATTCATTGGAGTTACTGGAGCTGTGTTGTCATAAGAGAGGCAAGTATCATAACTGCTGAGTTCTCAGCTGTCATAAAAATTCCTAGTACACTTCAGTGTTTGGCCCTAAATCCATTTTTTAAGAGACATTTTTATGTGCAAAAGCAGAA